TCAAACCTGATTGTCCAGCTCTGTGGTGTAACCAGTTTAATTTGGCTGACATTAATTCACCGCTCAGGGCTCTTCAACGCTCACTAGTTTGCAGTTGTAAATCAACACCTGGGTATGTGATCCTGATCACGTCAGTCTGTTTTTTTTTTTTTTTTTTTTGCGGTAAACATCCGTGTCAGCTCTTCTTGTCAGCAGGCTTCTAAAAGAGGTCAAGGTTGAACCTTTTAAAACGAAGCTGCTGCACCCCCTTATCATTAAGCCTCGGTTTCTCAAAAGGTTGACAGTAAAGTCAAGTAAGGCTGATCATGTACCTACAGGACCCGCATTCCTCCTGGTCTGGTAGGAGTCAGCGCAAAAATAGTTAGTTTTCGTGTCTGCAGATAGTGCCGGCTTCGTTGGAAAACACTTGCAGGTTCAACCCTTTTTTTTTATTCTAAACGCTAGATCATGTAAATTGCCTGAGAGCTGGAATGACTGCTTAGAGGTTGCATTAAAATGTGCATAAAAAGCCGAGCCCTCGCGGGCGGAGGTACCGTGATGGCGTGGGCCTATCGTTTCCCCATTGTAATACATCTCTCTTTCCTGGGCAGCATCATTAGGAGGGGAGCTGGGACTACATGTGTCCCACCTTAGCTGCATATAGATCAGCAGTAATCCATTAGCAGCCCCCTGGAATCTAGCAGGCAGGGCGCAGCACAGAAGGGGCCGGGAGGCTGTGTGGTTGATGGGGGAAGGAGAGGGAGAACGAGGGATGAGATGAGGAGGGGGGGGGTAGTTTTTTTTCAGCTCTTGCACTGATTCTTCACTCCGAGCCCAGCCCCCTTTTTATGTTGGCCTGCAGGAAACAAGAAAAACAGTCTCTTGGATCCACCATAAAGCATGCTGAGGTGTGTATGTTTAAAAGAGACTTGAATGATGAATGGCTTCCTGGCTGGCATCGGAGCAGAGGCTCCAGCCGCCCTCTTGTTCATCACTGCCAGCCGGGGCTCAGTGCCACACACCCCTGAAGCTGGTTCCATGATTAACGGATATGGGTTATGTGTTCCAGCATGGCTCATTATGATCAACATTAGGGACAGTGAGCCGTTCCTGAGATGTGGCTGCAGGTCCAGGGAGACAGTGGAGACAGTGGGAAGATAAAAGAGCAAGAGAAAGATGTGCAGCAGAGGGACGTGGGGGGGAGGGGAGGAAGACCATGAGGAGAAGTGTCGAAGCAGATGAGGCAAGGCCGGGCCTKAGAGTAATGATTACTTCAGCTGATTGTATCAGCCAGTCAGACTGTGACAGACCCCAGCCTTTTCTGCTTTACACTTAAGCAACGTTCATGCCTGAAGAGATAACCTCAGAAAGCTCCCATCATAAGAAGTCAACTTCCAGACTGATATCTTGTATTTTCATGTTTGTCCTTTTTACCAGCTCATTGTGGGGCTTGCAGACATTAAATTCAGGTTTTGATCGTAAGATTTGAAAAAAGTAAAATGTGACTGATTGAGCATGAAATTTTATCTTTCTGGTGAAGGAGCAAAACAAAAACAGATCTATAGGATCCCTGGTGGAAAACGGAAACTGAGCTCCTTTAAGAATCGCATAACTYCAGTTGTTTTTTACATTTTAAAAATGCTGACAAACACCAGTTACCAGGTATGATGCCCCCCTCAGTCCGCGGTTAACGGGTGTGCATGTATGCGTTTCTCCTCGGTTCAGCCTCGGCCAAATCTGTCTCCTTTTTCTGGTTCCAGCCTTGCTCTCAGAACCACCTCGGCGGTGGTTCTAAGGGTGTATTGCGCGCTCACCGTTTTGTCATCAGCAGACTTCTGCATGTACGTTGGCTGAGTCGAGGCAGAACTTGCAAACTCCTCCAGTAAACTCTTCCTGGAGAGATGTGAAGGAGATGAGCGCATACAGCTTGAGCTGGACGGAGGCGTCTGAACTGAGCAGATATCCTTGAGGTTCGGTCACCTACGATTTATAAACGCACTTTTAAACAGTGCCTCGACAAAAAAAAAAAAAAACCACTACAACTGTATGATAAAACCACAACTGCTTTTTTAAAAATCTTTTTCCTTTTTTACCACAATGGCGATCTGCCCACAGAGTGAGAGAGACACTGACATGGAGACGGGGCTTTACTTATCAGATACTATGGTGAGGCTGCAGAGATGAATCTCTCTTACTTCTCTTTGTTCACACATGTGTGTCTTCACACATYATGGGACCAGGAAAAAGGAGCGTTGCACGTGCAGTCCCCCGCTTCACAATCACTTGCCAACTCTGCACTGTGACTACCTCCACCGCAGCCTCTGCAGTGGATCGACTTCAACACCCTCCACCCCCCTTATACTCTGCCACAGTCGTTTCACATGACACCAAGGCAGGAAAAGGCCYGGCTTTAAAAAGTGTGAAAGGAGCTACACAGACAAATTGGCATCTGTGTGTGAAATGGGAAGTGGTGTGTGTGTGTGTGGGTGTGCCCWWGTTTTTACTACTTGGTGGGGATGAGTTTTCAGGAGAATGCAGCCTCGTGGGGACCGGATGCCTCTTGTGGGGACCAAAGCCCGGTCTCTACGACTTCGGAGGCTGATTTTGGGTGTGGGGGTTGGGTTTAGGACCAAGGTGTGAATTGAGTTTAGGTTAGTTTTAGGGTCAGGTAGGTACCTGTGGGGTTAATGTTAGAGTAAATGGTCAGGTTAAGAGATAAAATTTCCAAAAAATGAATGGAAGTCCATGGAAAGTCCCCACAAGGCTAGGTGTGTGTGTGTGTGTGTGTGTGTGTGTGTGTGTGTGTGTCGTCACACTGCTCTTAGCCAACAGAGGTTGTCTCTGACATGATACCAAGGGTCTGACTTATTGTGTTGAAGTGTGCGTGGATGCCGCACAGACCTGCCTTTTGATCTGTGTGAATGGTCATAAAGGGAGCAGCGGTGGCTGCAAGATTCATTTTCTTTGTTTATTTTTTGTATAAGGCACAATCAACGGGTATAAAAGAGCAAGTGATTGTTAATCCTGAGATATTCTTTATCAGTTCTATGAATAATCAGAGCCTTTGTGTTGGCAAGAAGTGGATTTTCTCAATATTCTTGTTGTAATAGGCAGTTACTGATGGGTCAAAGCTTTGTTTTTTTTAGTTGAACATGAACTAATGAAAGTCAAGACATCAGTGAGTTCATTACTGTGTGTTTTGTTCCATTTTATTTAAAGTTCATGTTAAGGCAAAAGGATTTACAGATGTTTTGATGCRCTGGTCTGAACCGATCACCACACAACTACAATACAAATTATTCTTGTCCTGAATTCCTGAATATCCACTCTGAAATGTTTTYCTTGTCTTTTTTATTTTTAGAAAACAATATCCGCTTATTTCTAAATGCAAACCATTTTAAGTATTTTCAGTTCCTGTGGTGCAGATCCAAAACAAGTGAATACTAACRGCTAAATATCAAAGCGTTTGATATGTTTTTTCAAACTAAAATTACTACAGTAGTAATGTTTAATCTCTAGAAAYGCACTGTATGCTGCTGTTTTCAATTACATAAACATATTGATTCATTTTCCCAACATTTAAAAAGCCTCAAATTAAAGCAAAATCATATTTTTGTGTGAGGCTGTTAAAAGAGCACCGCAGTATGTTGTAGGTCACCTGTGAATGAGATTCACCTGTCCTAATTCCATAAATGAGGGCCTCTCTGGAGGATCAAGTGGTGCCGTCCTTGTCTTTGAGCCACACCCTCCCCCTCCCCTTCTGCCCATGCTCCTGTGTAGTTTTACCTGCTCAGGTGTCACCTAATCCTCCCCCACCCCACCCCCGGCCCCGCTGTGCCACCGACCCCCACCCTCAGACAATGGGGCAGGGCTGACATTACCATGACCTAATGGAGACGAGAGTGAGCCGTGTTTCCAAAGAGGGCACCCCACCGAAACTAGAGTTACTCTGTTGAAATGGGGAAGAGAAGCTGAGAAGAGGCACCGTATGAAAATAGTTACGTTACCCTTTCTTCCTCTCTGTCCCTGTGGCTTTTCGTGCCAGAACAGCGGCAGGGTGTACGGTCAGAACTTGATCTGTGTAGGGCAACTATTTGTTTAAAATGGAYGATGAAAGGAAGGACGTGGGTTCCAGTTTCTTATCTGCAATGTTATGTGTAGCATGTTTGAACGGTGTGTTAATTTATCTGTGAATAGATGTATTTGTAGGGCCGGTGTCATAAGAAATGCAGCTTAATTGCTGTTTAAGTCATGCAAAATAGATTATTAGATCAAACTTATCAGGGGTAGACATCAACCTGTTGACAAAGCCYGGTTGTCCGCAAAACATTTTTATTGTCCAAAAGAATCTAAAGAAAAATGTAATTTAACAAGTATATTCTTCTGTAGACAGTTTATTATACATAATTGTTCTCAGTCAGCCAGGTTGACAGGATCTGCGTGAATGAAACTTCCTCATTCTCTTTTTTTTTGAAATAGAGTTCAACATTCATAAGCTTCTTTCTGCTCATAGGTCAAACATTTTCACTAAAACAGGAGTATCCTGTGTACATAACCTTTATTAAAAGTTACAGTTTAGTGTTCTTTTCAGTTTTACTAAGTTTTTTTTCTCCCTTTCATTTTTACAATGACAAACACCCGCGGCAGAGAACTTTAATCAAGGTCTTTTTTGCTTGGTTGTCCACCGGACAACCAAGACACAGGATATRGTTGTCCAAAATGAAAATAGGTTGTCTCAGACAACCTAAACAATGGTTGTCTTATAAAACAAACAAAAATGTACTGGTTTTCAGTTAAAAAAAAACTGTTTTGACACCAACACTGTGTTTGCTGTAGTGACCAAGCTGCTGGAAAACTGCCACRTAAAAAGAAAATGTTCTTGTATTTGCAAACTGAAATATTGAAAATCATATTTTAGAGCTGCGACTAGGTTCACACATGAATAATGCAACATTTGCACTGAAATAGGTCTACATTTTAATATTCAAAACTAACCATCTTTCTTTGTCTTTGTCTTTTAGCTTTAGGTGTTGCTCGTTGTGGAAGAGAGAGAGAGAGAGAGAGAGAGAAGAAGGGAGGAAATGGAACTGCCAAATCATGCCAAACAACTGTTGCTGCAACTCAACCAGCAGAGAGCCAAAGGCTTCTTGTGTGACGTCATCATTGTGGTGGAGAATGCACTCTTCCGTGCTCACAAGAACATCCTGGCAGCAAGCAGCATTTACTTCAAGTCACTGGTCCTCCATGATAACCTAATTAACCTCGACACAGAGATGGTCAACCCCTCTGTTTTTAGACAAGTTCTGGATTTTATCTATACTGGAAAGCTCCTGTCCTCCTCGGACCACAGCAACGAGCAGAACTTCAGTGCCCTCTTGACTGCAGCCAGCTACCTCCAGCTCCACGACCTCGCCGCTCTGTGCAGAAAGAAGCTCAAGCGCAGTAGTGGGAAGCCCCTGCCAGGAAAACCCTCCACTCCAGGTCCTCTTAGTCGCTTACGTCTCAACAACCAGCGCCTTTCCTCTTCTACTCCTGCTGGCCCGAACAACCACTATCCCCCGGCCCCTTCCGATGCCGACCAACCACAGCCAGATGAAGGCCTTCGGGACAAGCTCTCGGATGACGAGCTATTTGTCGGCAGCTCCGGGAAGGTGGGGAATGGGGGACATGGAAGCAGTAATGGTAACCTTAGCAGTGGAGCAAGTGCTGGGGAGCCAGATCTTGGACTTGATCTGTCCAAGAAGAGTCCTCACTCTGCAGGCACAGCCACTGACGCCCTCAGCCCGCACAGCAACTCCCAGGAGTCCCCTCAATCTGCCTCAGTATCCACAACCAACAGTGCCTCGTTGGACGACTCCTCAACCACCCTGCCAGGTGCCGACACTTGCATCTCAGAGACCATGGAGCTCAACTCCGCTTCCAAAACCTCTGAGGAAACCCCAAACCAAACAGATGGTCCTCCGCCGCATAAGAAAACCCGGCAGGCTGCTCGCAAGAACGAATGGCCAAAAAGAGAGGCGTCAGGGTTGAAGTCGGAGGAACACGACCGGCCCCTGGTCAACGGTGTGATCGTGGGTCCTAAAGATGGCCGCTCCTCTGGGATCTGCGGAGGAAGTGGTAGCTGCTTTGCGTCTGACCAGTCCTTCCACTGTAAAGATGAGGATGACGGAGGAGAAAATGGGCAGGACCACAGTGATGAAAGTGGTCAAAGTGATGGAGAGAGTGCAGGAGGCGGAGGAGGGCACCACAGCGTCAACTATGTGTACCGGCAGGAAGGTTTTGAGCCAGCGTTTGGGGACAACCTCTACGTGTGCATTCCCTGCGGTAAGGGCTTCCCCAGTTCCGAGCAGCTCAACGCTCACGTGGAAACGCACACCGAGGACGAGCTCTACATCAAAGAGGAGGGCGGGGCCTTTGTGAAAGAGGAAGACGATGAGGAAGCCGAGGACCTTTCTGCCCCYGTGGGTCCCTCCGGCTTTGGCTCTGAGTCACGTCCGTTCAAGTGTACTGTCTGCAGTAAGAGCTACAAAGACCCCGCGACGCTGAGGCAACACGAAAAGAGCCACTGGCTGACCCGGCCCTTCCCCTGCAACATCTGCGGCAAAATGTTCACCCAACGGGGAACCATGACACGCCACATGCGCAGCCACCTGGGCCTCAAGCCCTTTGCATGCGAGGAGTGCGGCATGCGCTTCACACGCCAGTACCGCCTGACGGAGCACATGCGCGTCCACTCCGGGGAGAAGCCGTACGAATGCCAGCTATGTGGTGGGAAGTTTACACAGCAGCGCAACCTCATCAGTCACCTGAGAATGCACACCTCACCCTCTTAGAAATGCATCAAGCCAAAGAACCATGGGAATAAGAAAAATAAAAAGAACATTTCTCTACCTTTTTTTTCCATCTCTGAAGCAAAGAAATGCACACATACACATTCACGTGGAAAAGAAACACATAGCTCTACGTATAAAGTCCAGTTTACGATGCCCTGGATGAGTGAATGATGTTGCTGCTCTCCGAGGTGGTCTCTTACCGACGGTGGGATCTTGTTGGTGCCAGGATCAGGTTCGTCGTTTTATATCGAGTGACGTGTGCTCATCTCTCAGGAGTTTTTCGAGGGACAATTTACTCGTGTGTCTCTCTCCAAAGTCACGAAGCCATGATGCAGTGGCATGACATCTCGTTTGTCGAATGTGAATGTGGGTACTGATATAATTTCAAGCCCCCCACCTCCTCACCC